CGTGGGCGGGGGCCAGAGCCAGTGATCGGGGGGAGATGAGGGTCCCCTGTCCAAGCCTGACACCTCTGGCAGAGGCGTCAGGCCTGGGCAAGGGGCCAATCAGGCGATCGGAGGGTGATGGGGGTCTACGCCTCTGGCCGAGGCATCAGGCCTGGGCAAGGGGCCGATCCTGCGATTGGAGGGGGATGGGGGTCAACGCCTGAGGGCGCCCAGTATGTGAGAGGGGGCAGGCTGGGCTGAGGGACCTCCCCCCCCACACACAAACACACACACACACACACACACACAAAACAAAAGCCATACTATGTAAGCCCATCTGCCCCACCCTTGTGCCCTCCTGACCTCATCTCATCTCCCACAGTCCCCACCTGGCTGGTGTGGCTGCAGAGCGCTGGCCTCCGTTGGGTCCCTATCTCTCCAGCGCAGTCCTGCCTCAGGGCAGTGCCCTCCCCTCTATCTGGACCTCTCAGAGGACACCATGTGCCTCAGCCCGTTCTCCTCTCAGGACTTTGCTGGAATGGTGCCTTCTCTGCTAAAATGCAAACACAGCACGCCCCACGCCCCTTCCTTAATTTTTCCTCATAACACTTTTCACCATTGGACGCACTGTATACTCTTCTTATTGGTTTGTTGTCTTTCTCCCTCTCCTCCCCCCGCCCCGCCCCCTACCATAGCGTGTCAGCTCTGTGTGGGCAGGGGTTTTTGTTTGCTTTGCTCACTGCTGTATCCCCAGTGGCTTCCACAGTGTCTGGCACACAGTAGGGGCTCCATAAATATTTGTTGAACGAATGATTTTGTTGTGAAAAACGACTCTACATAAAAAACACAAAGAAGAAACGAAAGATGCCTTAGAGCCCCAGCTGGTTCGGCTCAGTGGATAGAGCGTCAGCCTGCGGACTGAAGGGTCCCAGGTTTGATTCCGGTCAAGGGCACATGCCCGGGTTGCAGGCTCCGTCCCCAGTAGGGTGTGTGCAGGAGGCAGCTGATACATGATTCTCTCTCATCATGGATGTTTCTCTCTCTCTCTCCCTCTCCCTTCCTCTCTGAAATCAATAAAGATATATTTTTTAAAAAGAGAGAGATGCCTAGAATTTCCGGCCCTCCCAACTGAGCCATTTAAGTGGAAGCTGAACATCCATTCTGTGAGGGGGTGTGGAAGGGACAGGTGCACCAGGTGGAGGTGGGGTTCCTTCTCTCAGGAAAATTCTGGGATACATCACAATGGTCCCCACCACCCCAAGACATACGCTGTGATCTACTTACATATATATTTTTATTGGTTTCAGAGAGGAAGGGAGAGGGAGAGAGAGAGAGAAACATCCATGATGAGAGAGAATCATGTATCAGCTGCCTCCTGCACGCCCCTTACTGAGGACCGAGCCCGCAATCCAGGCATGTGCCCTTGACCAGAATCGAACCCGGGACCCTTCAGTCTGCAGCCCGACGCTCTATCCACTGAGCTACACCAGCTAGGGCGTTCTCTGTGAGTTAGAGCCAATGACCAGCGCAGGGCTTTTCCCTTGGGCCTCGGCCCTGGGTGGGGAGCCCTACGCCCCAGAAAGCTTGGGAAGCAGGGTGGAGTGGAATCACCTATCAGGACGGAACAAGTCTGTCCCAGGAGGAAACACAGCAGAGCCCTGCTCAGGGCGGGCACACAGTGACAAGTGGGGTGCGCCGTTCTCTGTGATTTAGAGCCAATGACCAGCACAGGGCTTTTCCCTTGGGCCTCGGCCCTGGGTGGGGAGCCCTACGCCCCAGAAAGCTTGGGAAGCAGGGTGGAGTGGAATCACCTATCAGGACGGAACAAGTCTGTCCCAGGAGGAAACACAGCAGAGCCCTGCTGAGGGCGGGCACACAGTGACAGGTGGGGTGCGCCGACCTGGACACCCGACTGACTTGAGGAATGCCAGGCCGCCCCCACAGCCTCCGACACGTCCCCACTGACCCGCCACCATGTCTGGAATTCCATCATGAGAAAGACTTTGGGTTCTGCCTTGAGAATGCAGTCCTGGGAGAGCCAGGCAGCTGCCACCTCAGCCCATAAACCAGGTCTACATTTGCGTGTCAGCTTAGAATGGGTCACAGGGGGAGGGAAGTGGAGGGGGGCGCGTTTTTGGGTAATGGGGGCATTTAGAAGCAGGGGCACTGCCAGGAAAGCAGGCAGCCTGTGAGCACTGTTCTCCGACAGGAGAATTGAAGGCCTCAAGGCAGCAGTTGTGACCTCACAGATAAACCCCAGAGCAGCCACGGGAGCCGGTTATCTGGGGCAGGAAGTGGCTAAGAGAGGCTTGAACCAATGCAAAATCCCCTCTCAACGGCTGCGTAATATTTCCAAGGACTTGGCCTTCACAGAAATGGGGTTACTGGGGCACCTTATCTCTGGGGAGCACCTGGGGAACTCCCTGAGGGCTCCCTTCGGACAGCGCGCTTGGGGGATCGCGGTTACGGTAAACGCACGGCACACGCATCACCACCCCTCAGTCCTGGCCCAGGACAGACATGGCTAATCCATCACCAAACAGCTGTGGAATCCTTCTCCCCACAGTCTCCCAAGCAGTCACTGCTAACCTACCAGCATTTGCACAGGAGGTGACACGCAATAGCTATTTGTGGTGCGAGAGACATCGCTGAGGGTGGGACAAAAGAAATGGTGTCTCCAGCCCAGCCCTGTGTGGTTCAGCGGTTGAGTATTGACCCAGGAACCAAGAGGTCGCCAGTTCGATTCCTGATCAGGGAACGTGCCTGGGTTGCAGGCTCAATCCCTGGTGGGGGTGTTCAGGAGGCAGCTGATCAATGATCCTCTCTCATCATTGATGTTTCTATTACTATCTTTTTCTCCCTCTTCCTTCCTCTCTGACATCAATAAAAATATACTTAAAAAAATTGAGTATTGACCCAGGAACTAAGAGGTCGCCGGTTCGATTCCTGATCAGGGAACGTGCCTGGGTTGCAGGCTCAATCCCTGGTGGGGGTGTTCAGGAGGCAGCTGATCAATGATCCACTCTCATCATTGATGTTTCTATTACTATCTTTTTCTCCCTCTTCCTTCCTCTCTGACATCAATAAAAATATACTTAAAAAAAGGAGGCTAAGCCGGTTTGGCTCAGTGGATAGAGTGTCGGCCTGCGGACTCAAGGGTCCCGGGTTCGATTCCGGTCAAGGGCATGTACCAGGGTTGCGGGCACATCCCCAGTAGGAGGTGTGCGGGAGGCAGCTGGTCGGTGTTTCTCTCTCATCGATGTTTCTAACTCTCTATCCCTCTCCCTTCCTCTCTTACATCAATAAAAATATTAAAAAAAAGAAAAGGAGAAGTGTGTCTCCTCCTTCCCTGCCCTTTGGGAATCACAGGGTTAGGATTCCTTAGAGGAGTAGACTGAGGCTCAGGGAGACAGTGAGACCTGGTCAAGGTCAGGGTTGGTGTGGGCAGCTGGGTCTGGAGCTCTGGTCTTTCCACTCCTGGCCCAGAAGCTGTCGCCTATGACCGGATGTTGGTCTCTAGGACCATGGTCGGCAAACCGCGGCTCGCGAGCCACTGGCGGCTCTTTGGCCCCTTGAGTGTGGCTCTTCCATAAAATACCACGTGCGGGTGCGCACGTACAGGGGACGTTGTGGAGTGAAAGAAGATGTAGTGTCGAGGATGGAGAAAGGTGTGTGGAGATGGTGTGGCCATACAGAGAGGATGAACGAAAGGAGATAGAGAAACAAGTATACGAGATGAGTGTGGATGGGAGAGTTGGAAGGGGTCGACCTCAGCGAACGTACCTCCATCAGATTGAGGACGTTTTTAGCCAAGGCCAGCTTAGGAGGACCCTAATTAAGTGAATAACAATGTACCTACCTATATAGTTTCAGTTTAAAAAATGTGGCTCTCAAAAGAAATTTCAGTCGCTGTACTGTTGATATTTGGCTCTGTTGACTAATGAGTTTGCCGACCACGGGGCTAGGAGACAGAGGGCACGTGTGTGGCCCATGTCCGCACACCCAACGGAAGAAGCTGTTCTAGCCCTACATGTCAACAAGTGCCGAGTGTAAAGTCCCAGGGTACTTGGGTTGACCTTATAAAATCTGGACTTTCTGGGCTCCGTGAGTCAACAGGGCAGCAATGGACAGACGTCGGGGAGGCCTGGTGCCTGGAACCTGGCTGCTGGCCCGATGTGTCCACTTGAGCCTTAGTGCCTGGCCTGTGTCCAGGACAAATGTCCTCCAACAAAGCAGCCAGGCCCAGCCCAAGGAGACAAGCCTGGCTCCCACGCTGGGCGGGTCGTCCTCAGATGCCTGATCCATCAACGAGGAAGCTAACCCAGGGCTGAGCTTGGCCGAGCCTCAGTTTCCTCATCCGTCACATGTGGATAATGACACCTCCCCTGCGAAGGTGTCATAAGCACGGGATGAACTAATTCTATAAAATGCTTGGCACAGCGCCCTGCGCCCGGCAGGTGTTCAGGGAGCACAGCTGGAATCACCTGAGGACTTCCCAGCTCTAGGAGCCCAGCCTGTGGCCCTCACCTTCCCGTGGGAACTCCTCCATCTCACACCGGCTCGGCAGTCACCAGAACTGAGACACCTCGGTCACGTTGGGAGGGGAGAAAATTGGTTTCTCCTGAGCTTGGGGAAGGGCAAGAGGGGTTAGGGTGCTCTCTCTTTTATTTTTTAAAACAATTTACCTAATCGTGGAGTGAGGAATATAGATCTTTATTGGTTTCAGAGAGGAAGGGAGAGGGATAGAAACATCAATGATGAGAATCGTCGATCAGCTGCCTCCTGCATGTCCCCTACTGGGGATGGAGCCCACAACCCGGGCGTGTGCCCTGACCGGGAATCGAACCAGGCCCTCCTGGTTCCTAGGTTGATGCTCACCCACTGAGCCACACCAGCCGGGAAGGGTGCTCTCTCTTTGAGGAGCAGATCCCTGAGGCCGGAGGTCAGACCCGGACTTCTCCCGTCCTGTCCCCAGGTCCCGAAGGAGGAAGAGGTCCTGCCGCCAGGATGCTGGCCCCTGGCGGAGCTGTGGCTTTGGCCCACACCCACCAGGGGGCTGACTCCCGGGCTGCCGGGAACTGGGCCAGATGGACGGACGTGGTGACAAGCTACGGTGACGTCTCCCCCACTTCCTTTGCCCTGCCCTTGCCGTGCCTGCTGAGTCAGGGTCCCTTTGGGGGCGGACGGAGACATGTGGCGTGACACTGTCGGATGTGGCAGGGCACACCGGGCAGCCCTCGAGTGCCAGGCAGGCTTCAAAGGGAGGCAAGCAGCTCTGAGGACGGCGAGAGCACAAGCAGCGATGCTCCGTGTCCCACGTGCGTCCGCCTCCCGGGCTGCGGCTGCTCTTGGCAGTGCCTCCTCTCGGGGCCTGGGCCGCAGGTCCAGCAGGGCCCCCGGGGGTTTCTGAGTGCCTCCTCTGCAGTCTCCTGACCTTTAGGGAAGCCCAGCATCTGCTTGAGCACTGACCGGACCCCTGACCCAGGCTCCTAAGGCAGCCCCAGGGGTGGGCGTGGTGGCGGATGCCACGGGCGGGCTGCCCTGACCCTCCTTCCCAGCCTTTCCCTTGTCATTGCCTTTGCTACAGGGGACGGCTCTTGGCATGCTGGGGGGAGAATTCTTCATGCAAGACTGTGTCATGCGTGGTAGCAGGCACCTCCCACTAAATGCCCAGTCACTGTGACAGCCTGAACTGTCCCCACACATTCGCAGACATCCGTGGAGCTGCGATACCGGCCTGGCTGGGAGCCACTGAGCCACAGGGCTCATCCCTCCCGCTTGCTCACAGGGGCCGGTCACGTGGTTCCACTCTGAGCAATGAGATTAAGGGGGGTCACCAGGGAGGAGAAATCTTCTAAGAGACAAAGATGCTCTCTCAGCTCCCAAACCAACCACACAAGTGGGCTTTTCCATTCTGCTGGAGTCGCTGAGAGTTGGGGTCCTTCCTAGCTGCTACAGGGGGGGAAACTGAGGCATGGAGAGGTCAGGTCAGCTGCCCAAGGTCTCTTCTCTTCCCCGGTGAGGAGTGAGGCAGGGTTCACACCCAGACATCCGGGGTCCAGAAGCCCCATCCTTAACCAGAGCCAGGCTGGCGCTGAGCGCTCCAGAAGCGTCGGCCCCGTTTCCCACCGGTGAGCTGAATGCATCTTTCCTCCCCTGAGGAGAGGGTTCATTCCTGTCATCAGATTCTCACAGGAGCCACAGTATGAATAAGATACCCCCTCCCTTTATTTCTGTCTCACTCCGTTTACGGTGACAGAGGGAAGCTCCAAGGAGGAAAACGACCTGCCATGCTGGTGACCGAGCTGAGATGATAACCGGGCCTCACCACAATCCGGGCCCTCCCCCGTCCCTCCTTCCTGTCCGATGGCCCCTCGTGGCCAGCCCTGCACTGGCGCAGCAGCCCTGTCCTTGGCCTCCCTGCCTCGTTCTCCCTCTGCACATGGCCTGAGGCTGCTGTGACTCTGCAGGTCTAAATAAATATATACATTTAAATATGCTTTTATTGATTTTTAGAGGGACAGGGAGGGAGAATGATAGAAACATCAGTGAGAGAAAAACATTGATTGGCTGCCTCCTACATGCCCTCAATGGGGAGCGAGCCTGCAACCTGGGCGTGTGCCCTGACCCGGAATCGAACCAGCGACCTCTTGGTGCATGGGTCGATGCTCAACCACTGAGCCACATCGGCTGGGCTGCAGCTTTAAATATTAGTTATTTTCCTATGTGTACTATCTAACAGTGGCCAAAGAGCTACTTCTGGTCCCATGTGGGCTCTACCCTTAGAGGTAGAGTCCATTTCCCCTCTCTTTGAAATGGAGCGGGCCTTTGTGGCTGCCTTGATGAATAAATGCATAGCCTCCACTGCTAGGTCGTAAAAGATAGTAAAGTCCCTCTCTCTCTCTCTTTTTCTTTAATATATATTTTTATTGATTCCAGAGAGGAAGGATAGGGAGAGAGAGATAGAAATATCAATGATGAGAGAGAATCACTGATCGGCTGCCTCCTGCACGTCCCCCACTGGGGATGGAGCCCGCAACCTGAGCATGTGCCCTGACCGGGAATCGAACCGGGACCTCCTGGTTCACAGGTCGACGCTCCACCACTGAGCCGCGCCAGCCTGGCTCTCTCTCTCTCTCTCTGAGCCCACCCACCATGCTGCGAGGAAGCCCAGGACACATGGCCGAGCCCCATGGAGCGTTCCAGCCCATGCCCAGCTGCTGCTGCATCATCCCCTGTGAGTAAAGGCACCTTCAGGATTCCAGCCCCCAGCTTTCAAGTCCTCCAGCTGAGGCCCCAGATGCTGCGGAGCAAACACAAGCTACACAAGCTGTTCCTCCTGGGCCCTGTCCCGATTCTTGGCCCACAGAACCTGTGAGCCTAGTAATGGCTGTTTTACTCCCTTGAAAAGGAGAACACCATGAGTTTGGACTTAGCGTCGGGAGCGGTGAGAGCTGCTGGATGCTTCTGAGTGGGGAGCGGTGTGACCAAGCCTCTCTGGTCATGTGCAGAGTAGAGAACAAGAAGTGTGGCCAAAGGGGGCTACGGCACCAGTCCAGGCCTTTGGGAGGAGGGACCATCGTACAGGGAGGAGGGAGAAAAGGGGAGTCATAGAAAGGAAACAGAGTCAGCCCGGCCAGCGTGGCTCAGTGGTTGAGCGTTGACCTATGAACCAGGAGGTCACGGTTTCATTCCCAGTTGAGGCACATGCCCGAGTAGCGGGCGCGATCCCCAGTGTGGGGCGTGCAGGAGGCAGCTGATCCATGATTCTCTCTCATCATTGATGTTTCTATCTCTCCCTCTCCCTCTCTGAAATCAATAAAAAAATATTTTAAAAAAATAAGAAAGGAAACAGAATCACATCCCAGCTTGGGCATCATTCTTCTTCCTGTAGCTTACCTTTACTGCCTGTAAAATGAGCGAGGCAAAAATAAATCATGTTTTTTTTCTGGTGTTTCTTCTTTGTGCAAAAATTCTCCCCAGTGGTAAAGTCAGCCCCTTCAGGCATTGGGGTGGGGGGAGGGGAGAAGGGACAGTTGTCTCCTCTCTCTGCCCAAAGGCTCTGGCCTTGCCCCCATCTCAGGTGCTGCCTTTGCGCACATGTCCTGGTTGATCTTGACGACTCACTTTTGTTGTGTTTGATCGCCAGGCCATCTCCATTGCATGACTGTGACCGAATCATAATTCGGTGATGTTTCCAGTTTCCCTCCAGGTGCACTCATGTGAGAGCCGGTACCTGGGGAAAGAAGACCTGAGTCACAGATACGCTCACCCCCAACCTGGCAAGATGGCCACCTTGTGCCACTGCCAAGTGGCTCTACCAATCTACTCCACCCTCCGTGTTTAAGGCTGGGGTCCCCATCAACTTCTTTATTTATTTATTTTTAAAATATATTTTATTGATTTTTTACAGAGAGGAAGGGAGAGAGATAGAAACATCAATGATGAGAGAGAATCATGGATCGGCTGCCTCCTGCACGCCCTCCACGGGGGATCGAACCCGGGACCCTTCAGTTTGTAGGCCGATGCTCTATCCACTGAGCCAAACCGGTTTCGGCCATAATCTCTCCTTTTGATTTACATTTCTCTGATACCTCTTCTTATATGATCATTGGCCATCTGGGTTTCTTTTTTTTTTTTAAAATATAATTTTATTGATTTCAGAAAGGGAGAGGGAGCGAGAGATAGAAACATCAATGATGGGAGAGAATCATGGATCGGCTGCCTCCTGCACGCCCTCCACGGGGGATCGAACCCGGGACCCTTCAGTTTGTAGGCCGATGCTCTATCCACTGAGCCAAACTGGCTAGGGACCTCCAGGTTTCATTTTCTATGAGGTGCTTGTTCACAACTTCTGCTGAATTGGCTTTTGGGTCCTTTGTCTTTCTTCTTGATTTGCAGAAGTTCTTTACATATTCTGGAAACCGAACTCCCGCTGGTTGTAGGTACTGCATTTGGATTCTCTTTTCGGGTTGTGAAATTTTACTGATGCACACTTATGACATGCATTTCTGTTGTGCATATTGTAATTCACAAAAAAATTATTGAAAAATCGTTCCTTCTCCCGAGGCCATAAAAATATTCTCCTAGATTGTCTTCTCAATGTGTTAAATTTTGTTCTTCACATGTAAGCCTTGCGTGCACCTGGGGCTGTGTGTGGGCGTAGGCGGATCTAATTTTACCTTTTCCATATGGATCGCCGCTTGTTTTAATACCGTGTATAAGACTCGGTCTTTTCCTCACTGGTTGGTGATGACTGTCATATAGCAAGTTCTCATCTGTGCTCAGTTCTGCCTCTGGGCCCTTCTTCTGTTCATCTCATCTCTTTATAGCCTGATGCCAAAGTGGGTCTGCTTGATTTCTTTAAAAAGTTTCATTATTTGGGCCCGGCTGGCGTGGCTCGGCGGTTGAGCGTTAACCTATGAACCAGGAGGTCATGGTTTGATTCCCCGTCAGGGCACATGCCCGGGTTGTGGGCTCAAATCCCCAGTGTGGGGCATGCAGGAGGCAGCTGATCGATGATTCCCTCTCATCATTGATGTTTCTCTCTTTCTCTCCCTCTCCCTTCTTCTCTGAAATCAATAAAAATATATTTTTAAAAAGTCTCATTATTTGGTAAGATTCAATGAAGGACTTGAAGACAGGAAATATAGTTAGAATGATGATAAGGATGAGCTGGAGATGGGTTTTAGAAGCCAAGGCCAGAGGTCAAGCGTCCAGCTGGTGGCTGCTGCACTGTCCAAGCGAGCGGTGAGAGCTGGCCGTGGTGGAGGCTGAGAAGTGGTCTCATGTTGGACGTGGAGAGGAGGTAAAGCAGAACGGATTTGCTGATGGAACAGAAAAACGGCGATCAGAGATGACTCCTTGGGTTTTTGCTCAAATTAGCTGGGAGGATGGTGATGCCATTTGCTGAGATGAGAAAGCCTGGGGCGAAGCTGGCAGGTAGGCCCTTAGAAAATGCCCAATAAATGACTGAAGGGGTGAATGAGGAGTTGGGGGGCCGGTGGTTCTGAGTGAGGGCGCTGCCGCCCCACACCCTGCAGCCCTTACTTCTGAGTCCTCAGGGAGGGAATGACTGAAAGGGTGAATGAGGAGTGGGGGGCCTGTGGTTCTGAGTGAGGGCGCTGCTGCCCCGCGCCCTGCAGCCCTTACTTCTGAGTCCTCAGGGAGGATGAAGCACCACCCTTCTTGTTTCACATTAGCTCTTCAGCGCATCCATGTCATGGTCCCCAAGCACGACTGTCATTGCTATGGGGGGAACAGGGAGCAATCTTCCCTGTTGGGTGGTGGTTCCTCCCCACCCTGCCCCCCTGGCTCCGTGCTGGGCCCCAGATTCTTGGTCCCAGGACACTGGCTCATGGAGGCCTCTGGGGGGGACAGATTCGGGTCCCTCAGGGAAGCAAGTGGCCTGGGTGAATCTCTGTGTCACTTTGGGGATCAGAGCTATTTTGCAAGGAGCTGGCTTCACCTGGGCTTGAAGGAGGCCCTGCCCTTGGGCTTACAGCCTCAGTGGCCGGGGGCTCAGACCCGCTTTTTGGACCAGATTATGGTGCTATTTCCAGACCGATGCTGGCTCATCACCTCGAGCTGTTAGGAAAACACCTTTAGTTCATAAAACATGGGAACTGCCTCTGAGCGCCAGGGCTGAGTCATTTCAGTGAGCGAGCCTTCCGCTGGGGCGGCAATTTTGGTCAGGCCTGGGTGGGGCGCTGGGGAACCTGTGTTTATCCTGTGGACAGCCTCAGGTGGCCTGGCAGGCCCACTCAAGCCCCAGAACACTGGCTTCCTTCCTTTGTGCAGGGAATCAACACTAACGTTAAGCCCCTTCTGTGTTTTGAGAGCAGAGCCCTGTCATCAGGACGGCTGAAGGGGAGGGACCCCTGGGTTCTCACATCCCCAAATACCTGAGGGAGCACACAGAGGCTGAGGCATGAGGAAGATGAGGAAGAGGAGGGACGGGAGGACCTCAGCTGGGATGGAAGTCAGGTTCAGCCTAGGTTCTGCCCCGCCCGACCACCTGGGAGCCTTGGCCTCAAGCACTGTCCATCCACCTTAGCCCTGGCCAGAGGTGACCCTCAGATTGGGGCTCAGCACGACTGTGGGCTGGAAGGGAAGGAGGGAGAAGGGCAGGATCGAAAAAATAGAGTCTTTATTAAGCACCTACTTCATGCCAAGCCCTCGGCTAGCTTGTTCTTGGGGCCTTGCGCCTGGTCCAAGAACTTGGGCCACTTTGCCGGCTCTCGGGCCTCGGGCCAGGGACTCCACCTCTAAAGGGCTCTATCCTCCTCTGCCTCATCTTCCTCCTCTGGCCTCAGGGTGGTGGCGAGGGTCAAGCGAGAGGAGGCAGTCAGTAAATGGTACCTTGTGCTCTCATGAATAACGACGACACGGCTAACGTTTATTGAGTACACACTGTCCCGGGCTCTGTGCTAAGCGTTCCCCTCACAGTAACTCACTGAATCCTCCCAGCAGCATTGAGGCGAGTTCTCTCTCCAGCTCCAGGTTTCAGACGAAGACAGCGGGTTGTGGAGACATTAAGGAACGTATCCAAGGCCGCAGGAGGGCTGACGCTGCTCACAGCATCCTGACCCAGGCACCCGTAGCGCATGTATTAAGTCCATCGGGCAGGTTGGATGGAATCGCTGTTTCTCAATGTACATTCTCCAGAACCTTCATCTTTGTTCCAATTAGAAAAAAAGCCTCGCCATCAGATAAGCTTAGAAAACGCCGGAACATGGCATTTTCCTTCTGAGAGATTCATAGGTCACTTCGATACACTCAAGGCTCCCGAAGTCCTGCGGTTCCAAGGAAAAAAGCAAACAACATGTGTGGGTTTGACCCAGAATTCCCAAGCTCCTTGGCTGTTGGAGCCCCCTTTCTGAGGAGCCCTTATTACGTTCAAGCCTGAAACCTCCACACATTCATGAGGCACTACTGACCGTCAGCTGCTGCCTCCCTGCTCTTTCACTGCCTTTGGCGGCACACCCTGGACCACCCGAGTTTCAGGACTCCATATTGTTCCTTAGTTCTCTAACTCATTCAACAAATGTCTTCTGAGCCCTGGCCGGGTACAGCGCTGTCCCAATATGCCAAGGTTGTGGGTTCCATCCCCATATAAGAATCAACCAATAGCCCTAGCTGGTTTGGCTCAGTGGATAGAGTGTCGGCCTGCAGACGGAAGGGTCCCAGGTTCGATTCCGGTCTAGGGCACATGCCTGGGTTGCGGGCTCAGTCCAATGTGCAGGAGGCAGCCGATCAATGATTCCCTCTCATCACTGATGTTTCTACCTCTCTCTTCCTCTCCCTTCCTCTCTGAAATCAATAAAAATATTGGTAACAAACAAACAAAGAATCAACCAATGAATGCATCAATAAGTGGAACAACAAATCAATGTTTCTCACACCCTTACTCTCTCTCTTTCAAATCAATAATTTTTTTTTAAAAAAGTCTCTCAAGTTCTCACAGGCACAATGAAAGATGGAGAAGACACAGCTGGTTTTAAGAGTCTCCTAAGTCTGATGGGGAAGACAGAACAGTGACCAGAAGTTCAAGGACTGGGGGAGACCAGTGGGTGTCACCTACCCCAGTCTGGAGCCAGGGAGGATTCCTGGGTGAGATGTGGGCTGATGTGGCCAGGTGAGGGACTTTGGAGGTCAGGGTTGTAAGAAAATATTCGTATATCTGTGCAAAAGCTCTGCGTTATCTTGACTCTGCGGGGCACTCCTGGGGTTACCTGATTCTAGTCCATGAACTCTGAAGATTGTAGGAACTGATAGTCATGCCAAACCATTCTTGTCTAGACTGCAGATTCTGAACTGTCCTATGGAACGCCAACTGACTCCCCTCCCCTGTTTTGCCTCCATTTGCACATTCATTTCAATATTCCTGATCAATAAATGTGTCTGTTCTTCACATTCGATAATATCTGCTTGGTTCTCTCACCAATTTAGGACTATAATAAACTCTTTAACACGTGGTCACTTTTCTGTATGTATGACCGTCATGATTTTGCCTCTTTTTTAAAAAAAAAAAAATATATATATCTATACACACACACACACACACACACACACACACACACTTGTATTGGTTTTAGAGAGGAGGGAGATGGAGAGAGAGAGAATCATGGATCGACTGCCTCCTGCACGCCCCACACTAGGGATCCAGCCCGAAACCCAGGCATGTGCCCTTGACCAGAATTGAACCTGGGACCCTTCAGTTCACAGGCTGACGCTCTTGTCCTCTGAGACAAACCAGCTCAGGTGATTTTATCTCTTTTTAAAGGATGACAGTGAGAGGCTCCTGGGGCAGAGAAACGCTGTCTTCTTGAAAACTTATTTACACTGAGGTAGCCATGAGATAGACAGCTTAACATGTAGTGGTTCTCAACTCTGGCTATTTGGAGCAATCATCTGAGGGGTGTGTGTGTGTGTGTGTATGTGAAAGCAGTGAACATGTTTTTATAAAAATGATACATGCTCAATTCTCAAACAAAACAAGCAATATAGAAAAGTACAAAGAAGGGAGCAACAAATCCTTCCCTCTTTAGAAAGCCGCTTCCTGAGGTAGGACTTTTATCTGTTCTGTTCTCTGCTGTCATCCCAGCACCATGGCCTTCCTGGCACAGAGTAGATGCGTCATACAGCTGGTCACGCAGCGTTAACGTTTGCTGACTGTCATTTACTCAGAGAACTTTGGAGAGGGAAAGAAAGAGGTAGAGGTAGAGAGAACGGTAAGTAGGTCTAAATATTTTTAAAAGATGGGATTGTACCACATCTACGATATTTTAAAAGTATTTCATTTTTCTTGAGTTGAACAGGAAAGAACATCTTGAAAAATTGCTGAATTTTAGATAAATTTTTACTTTCCACAAGAGAGATTAGTTCATAATGAATTTCTCTAATGTTAAGAAAAAAAATGCTTATGAAAATCATTAAGAGAATGGGGTCTTAGGGAAAAGGAAGAATTGCTTCCCTGGGGACAGGCTCAATAATTTCCTGAGATGAAAAAGGTGACTCTTCCCCTTACACATCTCCCCCACCCCCAACTCCTGATTTTGATTCTAATATGTTCACTTGGTCAAGGTTTATAACACTTCTACGCTGTTCGGCCACCATAATTCTCCTAGTAGTTCATCTTAGTCCTGTGTTTAAATAGGTTCCATTGCATTTTTAATTTTTTTGTTATTAATCCTCACCGAGGATATTTTCTCATTGATTTTTAGAGAGTACAAGGGAGAGAGACAGAGGAAGAGAAACAGCGATGTAAGAGAGACACATCGATTGTTTGCCTCTCCCCCACCCCCCAACCATGGCTGGGGATCCAGCCTGCAACGTAGGTACAAGTCCTTGACCGGAATCGAACCCAGGAACCTTCCTCAGACCGATGCTCATCCACTGAGCCAAACCAGGTAAGGTGATTCCATTGCATTTTTTTTTAATTTTATTGATTTTTTACAGAGAGGAAGGGAGAGAGATAGTCAGAAACATTGATGAGAGAGAAACATCGATCAGCTGCCTCCTGCACATCTCCTATTGGGGATATGCCCGCAACCAAGGTACATGCCCTTGACCGGAATCGAACCTGGGACCTTTCAGTCCGAAGGCCGACGCTCTATCCACTGAGCCAAACCGGTTTCGGCTCCATTGCATTTTTAAAGCACATTTTGTCCCCGAGTTTTGCATTTGGAGTCATCTCGTGTGCGTAACAGGAAAAACTGGACTGACTTTGAAATGGACAAGAAAAGACTCCTGGGTGTGTTCTTTACTTTGGGCCCCCATGCCCTTAGTGACTGTTTCTGGGCTTTGAGCAAATCTAAGCTGTAGAAAACTTATTGCAATGCAAATGATTCCTGTCCATAGAAATGCAAATGACGTTTGTCCAGTGGAATGCAACTGATGGTTGTCCTGTGACATTCCTTATCCACTGTCCCAGTTTCCTTTGAACCACTTGGAACGTACTATTTATTCCCTAATTACTTGACTAGTTAAATAAAAATTTTGATATGTATTCATTTTATACCGTATGAGAGCCATAATTTTGGCTTTTAAAAAACTGACCCTCGCCCTAGCCAGTTTTGCTCAGTGGATAGCGCATGGGCCTGAGGACTGAAGGGTCCCAGGTTTGATTCCCATCAAGGGCACATGCCCAGGTTGCTGGCTTGATCCGCAATAGGGGCCGTGCAGGAGGCAGCCAATCAATGATTCTCTGTCATCATTGATGTTTCTATCTCTCTCTCCCTCTTCCTTCCGCTCTGAATTCAGTAAAAATATATTTAAAAAAATAATAATAAAAAACGGACCCTTTTCCTACCTGGGGCACCATGCCAAGAACCAAAAAGTGGTGCCCTATCTGGTTTGGTTCAGTGGATAAAGTGTTGGCCTGCAGACTGAAAGGTCCCAAGTTCAATTCTGGTCAAGGGCACGAGCCCAGGTTGCGGGGTGGATCTTCAGTCGGGGGCGTGCAGGAGGCAGCCGATCAATGATTCTCTTTCATCATTGATATTTCTATCTCTCTCTCTCTCCCTCTCCCTTCCTCTCTGAAATCAATAAAAAATATGTGTATATTAAAAAAAAAAGAACTGAATAGTGGGAAGAGCTGAAATCCGTGCTTCCCAGGAACTTCCTTTAGAAGCAAATAGGTAAGAGACTAGGACAACTCCGGGAGCACAGACCTACATTTGACCTCCAGGAAGGAGAAGGGTGAGTGCTGGTGGGAAAATGGAGCCATCGGTGTCAGCCCGTAGAGGACAGTTCAAAGCCTTCTGTATGGAAAAGACTCTGCTCCCCTCTCTTTCTGAGGACTCGCATCTCAACACCGCGGCTATCCAGTGTGTCGCCCCAAAAGTAAACACACTTCAGCAACTGATAGTTCAAATTTGAAAATGAAATGTATTTTAACAAACACTGCCTTTATAATTAAAGCAAACAAAAAAACACCCAACCCTTGTAATGGTCAGATAGATTTCACTGGTCAGCAATTTCATTTTCAATAAGGCTCCTGGGTGCTATTTTCCCTGACCTTTTCCAGGTTGTCTATAGAGTGGAACAACCTCTCTGGGTGTAATAGTCTTGGTTTCCCCTTTTCCACACAACTTTGAAGACTCAGCTCCTTTGCTTTCTAGTATTGGCTGTTGCTGTGGGAAAATTTCTTTCTCTTTTTTAATACATTTTAAAATATATATATATATATTAATGATTTTTTACAGAGAGGAAGGGAGAGGGATAGAGAGAGTTAGAAACATCGATGAGAGAGAAACATCGATCAGCTGCCTCCTGCACACCCCTTACTGGGGATGTGCCTGCAACCAAGGTACATGCCCTTGACCGGAATTGAACCTGGGACCCTGCAGTCCACAGGTCGACGCTCTATCCACTGAGCCAAACCAGCTAGGGCAGGGGTCCTCAAACTACGGCCCGCAGTCCACATGCAAATACAAATATCGTATTTGTTCCCATTTTGTTTTTTAACTTCAAAATAAGATATGTGCAGTGTGCATAGGAATTGGTTCATAGTTTTTTTTTTTTTTTAAACTATAGTCCGGCCCTCCAACGGTCTGAGGGACTGTGAACTGGCACCCTGTTTAAAAAGTTTGAGGACCCCTGAGCTAGGGCAATACATTTTTTTAAAATTGATTTCAGAGAGGAAGGGAGAGGGAGAGAGAGATTGAAACATCAATGATGAGAGTGAATCATTGATTGGCTGCCTCCTGCACACCCCCAACTGGGGATCAAGCCCACAACCTGAGCATGTGCCCTTGAGCGGAATCGAACCTGGGACCCTCCAGTCCACAGGCCGATGCTCTATCCACTGGGCAACACCGGCCAGGGCGAGGTGTTTTCTTTATCTTCGTGTTTAGTGACTCAGCCTGAATCAGTCTGTTCCTGGTGTTTATCATTCTCCTGTCATTCACCTCTCAGTCCATACACTTGGTCCTTCCTCTGTGTCCGGGAGAGGCTCTCTAACCATTCTTCTGCTTTAGCTGCTGGGACATCTACTTCAGGGACTCCAACCCGCTGTGTGCGGGAAGGTTTGGGTTCCACGGTCATCTTCTCTCACACTGGTTTATTGTACTTGTCCCATTTCTCTGAATTCATTGTGATCATTTCAAGTTTCTCTCCATCTCATTCATTTGCTTTTCAGACGTGTGCACCACGTTGTAACTCAGTTTTTAGATGTGCAATGGCCCTGGTTTGGTCCTCAAGGTGTGTCTTTCCTCTGCAAGTTCTCTTTGCATCTCCTGATGTTATTATTATTTCCTAAAAAATTTGTTGTTGTTGTTAATCCTTATCAGAGGATATTTTTCCATTGATTTTTAGGGAGAGCGGAAGAAAGAGGGAAAGACGGAGAGAAACATCGATGTGAGAGAAAGACATTGATTGGTTGCCTCCTGCATGAGCCCAGACCAGGGCCCAGGCCGAGGAGGAGCCTGCAATCAAGGTACATGCCCTTGACCTGAATCAAACCCGGGACCCTTTGGTCTGCAGGCCGACGCTCTATCCACTGAGCCACACCGGCCAGGGCCTGATGTTATTTTTTTAAATTGTCTCTTCTTACATCTAATTCATACTCTTGTTAACTTGTCTCTATCCTGAAGCCATGAGTTTCAAGGAAGCTGCTTTTGATCCCTTTCAACTCATGCCCTCATGTGATTTCCTTCCCTTTCCTGGCAGTTGGCGGGGTGGCCTTGCATGTTCTTCCCATCTTGCTCAGTTAATTTAGCAACTCCTGCAGACACTCTACTCATTCTAATACAGGAACCAGGAGGAGGGGAGAGGAGAGGCACCCACCGAGGCCACCCTTGCTGGGGTCCATAGGTCTTCTCTTTCCTGCCCTCCCCGACACACTCTGCACCCCAGGCCCCCTGTCTAGCTGGGCGTGTGTCCTACTCACACACACTGCGGCCAGGACCGGGAGGATGGAGGGCCCTGGTCCTTCCTTTGTTTCATTGCTGTGGAAATTGTCTCTTGGTTCATTAGCACATTCTTCTCATAAACAATGTATCACTGTGACTCACTGTGTCAGGTATTGCGATAGGGAGAGTATGTTCTCCCCTCACTCTGCCTTCTAAAGTCTGTACTCCTCTGCTAGGCGGCCTCTTACAAATGCACATCTCGCCCTAGGTGGTTTGGCTCAGTAGACAGAGCACCGGCCTGCAGACTGAAGGGTCCCGGGTTCGATTCCGGTCAAGGGCATGTGCCCGGGGTTGTGGGCTCGATCCCCAGTAGGGGGCATTCAGGAGGCAGCTGATCAATGATTCTCTTTCATCACTGATGTTTCTATCTCTCTCCCCCTCTCCCTTCCTCTCTGAAGTCAATAAAAATATATTTAAAACCAAAAAAACCCCCAAATGCATAATCCAGGTGCTGCTCACCCAGAGGCCCTGTGAGAGTTTGATCTTGTGGTTCTGGGTGGGGCCTGTCCCTCCACACCCAAAGTAATGTGGGCGTGCAGGCTTGGGGTTGGGGACTGCTGAGTCATCTACCAGAGCCATTTGCATTTTTGTCCAATTAAAGGAATGCGGCTCCGGTTACATAAAAGGACATGACTCTGAATATCTCACAGTTCTGGAATGTCTGGGTGGGTGGGCAAATGGGATATTCATCCTATTGGTGAGGCACAGAGAAGGGAAGCGACTTGCCCAAGATCACACAGCAAATTAGTGACAGACAGGCTTGAAAACTTGGAAATGCCAACCCCAGAGCTGGAGACTGGAGACCAAAGTACCCTAACCTCGAGGGCAGACAGGGCTCTGTCCAAGGCATGAAGACCTCCCATCTCTGGGTCTCCAAGAGAGGAAACATTTGTAGCCCTGCCCCTAGGGAATTTTGAGCCCCACGGGGTGTGGCCAGACAGAAGGCAATCACTAAGCTCAACCATCCCCGGAGGAGTGACCCTACCTCCCCTCATGCCTGTCTCACCCCATTCACCCACTGCCTGGCAGCCCTGCTCTTAGCAGGAGGAGGGCCTGGCAATGACCTTGGACCAGCTGGCAATGGAGCCATCCTGCTGAGAAAGCATCAGAAAAGTGGGGGAGCCCGGTCAGCGTGGCTCAGTGGTTGAGCGTCGACCTATGAACCAGGAGGTCATGGTTCGATTCCTGGTCAAGGGCACATGCCCCGGTGGTGGGCTCAATCCCCAGTAGGGGTGTGCAGGAGGTAGCTGATCAATGATTCTCCTCACTGATATTTCTATCTCTCTCTCCCTCACCCTTCCTCTCTGACATCAATAAAAATATATTTAAAAAAAGAAAAGAAAAGAAAAGTGGGGGATGTGAGATTAGCACTGGAGAGGGGTTGGGCCAGGGAGGGCCCCCCTCTCCCCAGGGAAGGGGCTGCAGAGCAGTTTGGGCCAAGACTGGGCAGTGAAGATTGATCCTCTGATGAGAGGACTGGGCCGGGACCCTCAGGCGTTAGGCCAGGCTGCCCCTGGCTGTGTCCTCATTCTGCCCCATTAGCCTGGTGACAGATATCAGGAAGCCCATAACAACCCCTTAATGGGTCCACCTCTTACTCATTTCAGGGCCCACCGCGCCCCAGCTGCCTCAAGAAAAATAAAGGACTCTCTCCACAGGTTGTGGTGAGGACTATTTCCTGGAAAGGCACGCAAGCAGCGCCGGAGCTCAGTAACGGAGGCACTGGGCTCAAAACAGATCCGTTCCATCAGGTACCAAGAAATAGTTCACCGGAGACTTTTGTGAGGAGCTGAGAAAAGGAACCTCACATACAGAGGCGATTTTTTTCTCTCTAGGACAGTGATGGCGAACCTTTTGAGCTCGGCGTGTCAGCATTTTGAAAAACCCTAACTTAACTCTGGTGCCGTGTCACGTATAGAAATTTTTTGATCTTTGCAACCACAGTAAAACACAGACTTATATTTTTGATATTTATTTTATATATTTAAATGCCATTTAACAAAGAAAAATCAACCAAAAAATGAGTTCGCGTGTCACCTCTGACACGCGTGTCATAGTTTCGCCATCACTGGACTAACCTGACCCATCAGACACGGTGCAGCTGGGGAGGAAGTACGAACTCTTGATTGACCTCAGGCCGCTTCTGCAGCAGACACTGAACATGTCACCCAGGTTCACGGGCTTCCCGGGGAAGGAGACAGGCCACGTGGCCGCCAATGTCCCACGGGATCCCTTAATCCAGTGGTTCTCAACCTTCTGGCCCTTTAAATACAGTTCCTCATGTTGTGACCCAACCATAAATTATTTTCGTGGCTACTTCATCACTGTCATGTTGCTACTGTTATGAATCGTCATGTAAATATCTGATATGCAGGATGGTCTTAGGCGACCCCTGTGAAAGGGCCGTTCGACCGCCAAAGGGGTCGCGACCTACAGGTTGAGCACTGGTGTCTTAATGGGTCCACCTCTTACTCGGGCAAATGCCACGTCATGATATGATCCTTTGAGGATTCCCAGACAGTGGGGCAAGGCTGCCCGGCCAGTGTGGCTCAGAGGTTGAGCATCCACCTATGAACCAGGAGGTCGAGGTTCGATTCCCGGTCAGGGCACATACCCAGGTTGTGGGCTTGATCCCCAGTAGGGGGCGTGTAGGAGGTAGCTGATCTGTGATTCTCTCTCATCATTGATGTTTCAATCTCTGTCCCTTTCCCTTCTTCACTGAAATCAATAATATATATATGTATATGTATGTGTGTGTGTGTGTGTGTATATATACATATTAAGTGACCAAATTATTATGACCACCCCATCAGTACAATGAAGTGAATTAGTTATGCAAATAATAATAAAAACTTGAGAGTATTTGCTTAGGAAGTTTTTAATATTCAGTATTTTTGGAAGTATCAATGAAGTACTGATGGGGTGGTCATAATAACCTGGCTACTCAGTGTGTACACACACACACACACACACACACATATTAAAAAAGAATAAAGAAAGACTAAGAGAAGCTCAGGGCTCACGTGGCTGAGGAGGGTTCAGAGCCTGGACTCACCCGTTCTGCGGGTCCTTTGGCCATTTTTTGCGGGAGCTGCACTATGGACTCCACACGCCCTCCCACGTCTGATTCTTGGCCTCTGTGGCCACCCGCCACGTACTCCATTCGCTGGGTGTGGGTTGGGGCAGGTCCGCTCACTGATCCGCGAGTCTTATCTCCCTGACAACATTGCAGACAGTTGGTTATTATGGCTAATTGTCATCACATTTTTGCCAGAGGCTGTACACTTCCTAATCTGCTCTCACCGTTTTCTTGTGTGAAGTTCTCTCCTCACTTTGGAGAAAGTCTGGCCCTCATGGGAGGAGATGCAGATCTGAGCTGCTCCTATCTTTGGCTCTGTGTCTTGGTTTTGGAAAGGCCCTGGTATTTGTGGGTGTAGCTGCACTGACCAGGGAACCTGAGTAAGAGGTGGAGCCAGTTTAATGAAAGCCGTGACCCCTCTTCCAGAAACCTGCACAGACGCACAAAACCAGTGCATACAATTTAAGGGTTTATACACCCTCTCATGCCTATCTTTTGATCACCCAGGGGTCTGGATTAAGACCTACTAGGTTATGGGGTACCATTTGCCCATCTCGGATATCTAGATGCTTATGATGGTTTGAGAGCTGGGTGTGGCCATGCCTGAAGGAGGCTTCTTTTTCTAAGAGGGATCTTACAAAAGGATGAATTCGAGAATGGCGAACCCACTGAGTGAAAACTATGTCCAGTTCCCTCGCCAGTCAACTTCTGCACAAATGCGTGTAACAAACAACTAATATGTAGAGTGGGTCTCCGCTATAACAACAGCTCATGCTAGGAGAGTGGCAGGCATTGTGCTACATGCTGACCACGCAGTGTCTTGTTAAATGCTCATAACCAATCCCATAGGGTTATGCTATTATGATCTCTGAGGAACAGAGAAGTTAAGTAACTTACTCAAGGTCACACAGTAAGCCAACTCCACTCGCCTTTACCCTCAAGCACTCTGACTGCTGACCCATAGTCCTCCTGCCTATGACCTGGGGGCACTCACAGCTCGGGGAGGCTGGCCCCATGCTGTTCTGAGACTTTGTTCCCAGTTGGGCAGCTGGGTCCTCTTGGATTTAGGTAGAGGGCAGGCTTTAGTTGTTCTCAACCTTCTGGCCCTTTAAATACAGTTCCTCATGCTGTGACCCAACCATAAAATTATTTTCGTGGCTACTTCATAACTGTCATGTTGCCACTGTGATGAATCGTCATGTAAATATCTGATATGCAGGATGTTTTTAGGTGACCCCTGTGAAGGGGTCGTTCGATCGCCAAAGGGGTCGCGACCCACAGGTTGAGAACCGCTGCTTTAAGTAAACACAAAAAGATGTTTTTCCAGCCCTAGATGGTGTTGCTCACTGAAGAGTGCAGGCCTGCAGACTAAAGGGTCCTGGGTTCGATTCCGTGGAGAGTGCAGACCTGCAGACCAAAGGGCACATACCTCGGTTGCAGGCTCCTCCCAGGCCTGAGTCCCCATCAGGGTGCATGCAGGAGATAACCAATTGATGTGTTGCTCTCAAATGGATGTTTCTCTCAGTC